CGTATTGAAGTTTATTACTCGAACATTTATCTGTAAGGGAATTGAATTTTTTTTCATGAAACTTTTCATAAATTTTCTTGCCTGAAAACTGTTTTTAGATGAAATTAAAGAATTGATTTTCTTGAACAGACAGCCACCCTTCGAAGTCACTAAGTCACCTTGAATCTCGGTAATGAATTATTTCGGCGAAGTAAAATAGTGACCGATAAACTGCTCGGTTCGACGAGAAATTTTGCTCAAGCCTTCCATTCTCCAGTTTCATAAGTTAAAAAGAGATTAGAATGAATATGTACTACAAAACTAAAAAACATGTTTGTAATTAACCCTTAAATTCATTTCAAGCCTGGGTTTCGTTTATTTCTGGTTCTTTTTCTTGCTCCGAAAAGTCTTTCTCCGGGTACTCCGGTTTTCCCTCTCTTCAAAAACCAACACCTAATTCCAAATTCAAATTCGATTTGGATTGCACGGGCACATTTAAACGAGTTCTTAAGAACTCTTTTGTGTTCCGTAGTTAAACAAATTATAAAACTAAAACACTCATTATTTGAACGACAAACTCCTGACGCCCATTTTACCGGGTCCCCCTCTTTTCATTAGTGCTCCGTTTTACGGGTATTTGAAGCTACTTCAAAGTTGCATGGAAAAGCCACGCACTATTACCGTCTGTGGCGATTTTTGCTTCTTCTGTAGTCAGTAGGATACAAACTAGTGTAGCGACTGTGTGCGATTAGGGCTTTCTTAAGGTACAAGTAAATTAAAAGTTTAAAACGACATTTAGCAGTGATATTTCTACAGAGTGGATTCAGAATGAAATCATTAAATTTCTAAATTAGAATTGTAATGGATGATAAACTCGATGTTTTAGTTATACCGAGTCCGGAAGCGAAAGTTTTAGATTTTCTCTAGTTCGAGCAAGGATAATTTGGCTGTTCCTTGAGTAACTATCTATACCTTCGATTCGTATGACACATCGAGGTCTTGGATAAAAATTTGTTAGTGTTTTTTTTGTTTGCCACTCTGAGTAAAACTGGAGTCAAAATCACATTGTACAATCCGTATTTTCATGGACAAATTCATGCTACGTTCCTCCATTTTTAAATATTTCTTTGTATGAACATTAGGCGGAATCGGCCCCAAGACGGTTATTCAAGGTTAAGATTATGAAACCAATGAAGTAAGTCAGTAAATATTTTCTGATATATATATATATATTTGCACATGAGAACTGGTATCACCTTTGGTTTATGCAAGGCAATTACTATGTTCTTTTGACATTTTAGCAGAGGGAAAATTGAAGTTGCCATAAAGTAATGTTCCGAGCGTATGACAGAAATTAATGGTAGATACAGGTATCGTATTATATTGCCTTTAAGTTACAAAAGAGTGAAATACAGTCACCATCAGTTTTTGTCTGTTCTGCTGACGGTAACAGAAGACAATCGAATCTAAGAGATGGAGACGAAAAAGGTAAGAAAACTGTCTTTAAAATGATTTATAATCTATCCCTATTTATATTCAGTTTCTGTTTGGTTTTTAAGGAAAAGATGCTAACAATTTTGAACAAGCTGATTGCGCAACGCTAATGAAAATCTTGATCACCATTAATGGAAAATTAATGTTTTTTTAATGTACAATTCAACTCGTTGTTCCTATCGCAGGCTGTGTGAAAGTTGTAAAATTTAACAATAATTTGTTCTCTGCTGCCCAATGCCTCATTTTCTAAATTTTTGGAAGACTTTTCTCCACAATTGATTGCCCGGTTTAGACTCGGCTGCCAGGAAAAAAGCCACAAAGCAAAAGACTTGGGTTCATCCGCACTAGGGATTTGTGTTCAAAAAGTTGTGGTCAGTGTGTGGTTTGCAAGATCGGACACCAATTTGAATTCCTATCAAAGCCTCAGGAAGCCTGGCAATCTTCAAAGACGCCGTCGTCTTGCCTCAATAGTTTTGAACGTCTTTCTCTGTTTCTGTCATTTTGTAAATCGGCTACATCCTTCAGCCAGTATTTAGGAGCCAAAACATTGGTGCATAATGATTTTAAAATGCGTGAGTCTAAACCACCCTTTATAAATCAACAATGCGCGATGCAGAGTATGTCCGCGGCTACACGAGCCGGCATTTACATCAACGCATTGATGAACACCATCACTCGCCAATCGGGAGGCATTTAAAGAATGTCCACGGCCCGCTGAAAAAACCATAGGCGACTTGAGTAGCAACTTTTTCGTGCTCAAGAAGTGCAGGAAAATTAGATTGCCTGATTTACGAAATGCTGTTTATTGAGGAGAAGAAACTAAGCCTAAACACACAATCAGACTCCATCCGGGCAAAACTGTTTGTTTAACATGTTTTCACTTTTTTCATTTACACGTGCAAACATTGTTACTTTTGTTTTTTATTTTGTCACTTTAAACCGTAAGTCAGTTTTTAGTTTTATCTTTGTCACTTAATAATGTCATGGCGACATCGAAACGTTGTGTTCAACTTTGTTCGCTTATTTTTATTTTTAAGTATTTAACACAATTTAACTTGATTCGTCTAAGACAGTATTAACAAGAATAAAAAAACCTTCATTTGCTCGATTTTAAATGCGATTGTAGCCTGCGAAACGCAGACGTATCTGTGGTCGTCGCTTCTCTCCCTCCGAAAAATAACGTCTGCGAACATGAGCGACAAAACGATTTCCCTGACGTAAAACCTTTTGTTTTGACGTTCGCCAGTCAGATCAAAGGATAGAGTGCAGCTCGAGTGACTCATCGCGACCTCGCGCGCCGGCGTGTCTTGGATTCTGATGAGAATTACTAAATACGATTTGGAACGTGAATTTCACAACTATAACGAGGTTTCCTGCGACGTTGAATGCTGACTTCTTTGTGAAGCAACGACTTCCTAAGGTATGTATGTGATGAAGGTCTTTGTTTTCGCTTTATAAAAAACGTCAGTACGTGACATAACAAAATCTGGACAAAATAATCCCTACAGTGAAAGGAAAATAACATAGCTTAATAAAATCTCGCTCAGACCCGCGATTTATTTCAATTTAACCAGCGCCGACAAAAGGTGGTGAATTGATTGTACAGACACATGCTTGACTGATTCAGAGTCTGACAATCCCTCGTAAATATTTCAGAATCCTACAAGTATCTCCACAAAGCAATTATCTGAAATATTATAAACCTGGGCCGGACCCAGCGTGAAATAAATATTTACAGTGGTGAATTGATCATAGTCAAGATGACATTTCAGCTTCGACGCTTCGACTCATCTTATAAAAAACTATGGAAATTAAATCCTAGAAAAGAACATATATTTAAAGAAATATAAGAACAAATACAAAATGCTTTCGATCTGATCAAAGTTCTGTCTGAACCAAGAAGCAATCAAGCATTGGAAATCAATTACCACATGTCCTAGCTTTCAAAGATAAAGGATACTAAAAAATATCTAAAGCGGCACCTGACATACTATCGAAGAGTTCTCCAAAGCGTACTTTCCTTCGAGGAACCAGAAAGGAACTTACAGAAGCAACAAACGGCATGATGCGTCTACTGTCATTAGGACATTTATCGTTTCGAATATGATCAAAACAACAAGGAGTGATAACTCAGTGACTCCGTAGGCAAATAGATGAAAAAATGTCCCCTATTATTTTATTTAATATGAATCCTCTTGGTGTTTATTTCATCAATCAGTCCCACGATCCGTAAACGTGTCGTTCTGAGGAAAAAACGACGTCTGTGGTTCCCAGGGTAGAAAAAGGGCTACTGTACATGTACACATGCTATAGCCTGCGAGAGCATCCGGTTTTTCCCTCTCTAGTTTGATGGTTTCACATAAGAATACACAATAGACAAAGCCAGGGCTCCTGACAAAGCCTGAAATACTACAGACTTTTCAAAACCAGTTGGAAGATTCACGAAAACATCGCTCTTTCATTCAACGACAAGCCGCAAGGCTTCCTCTTGATGCTAATTGAGTCTTTCGAACTCGAAAACTTCCCATTCTTTCCTGTGCATCTTCCACCACATTTTTCCACGCGTTTGCGGGAGATCCACGCTACTTCTTCGAATATGCAAGGTGAATTGTGATTGGTTTCTAACAGCTGACGTCACGGAAATTTATTCTCTACTCGGTTTCGCAGACAGTTTTTCTCGGCGAGTGAAACTAAAGCCGAAACTGAACCGGATGCTCTCGCAGACAAAATTTAGGGTTTGAACGGCAGCTTTTTTTTCCCAGGTTTTTCAGACAAGAAGCTATGTATAGCGCAACATATTCTAAAAGTTGTTCTTAAGTGGAGGTGTGTTCGCGTTTCATAATTTTTAATTAAATGGTAAAGGCAAATTTTGTCATGGTTTATATTAGAGAAAAATTTTAACAAATGACGTCCTTCAAATGCGACAAAAGTTCTTAAACTCTCTGTGCATGCGCTATTCAATTTGCGATTTTCACTGGTTGCACTCCATTCGCCACTTTAGAGACGATAAGGGGACTGGTGCCGAAATGCGTCCCGCGATTGATGCCGGGATCGTTTCGTTCCTTCACTGACCCATTATTTCTCTCGTCATCACCCAAGGCAGGTCCAAAAATATTTCTGCTATTCGACACAAATATTTGAATAAAGAATAATGTGGGTTAATTGTCTTTCTCTTGTATTTATGGAAATATACAAAGTTTGTTTTACTCTGGTCCCCATAACACTGACTGTATTTAAATAGAGATGAATTCGCTAAGGCTTATACAAAGATCGAGAAGGTAAAACCCAACATCTATTACTGAACAAGAGTTTTTGCAAACGAATAGTGGAAGGAGGAGATGGAAACTTGCTTGCCTCATCAAAGGCCTACCAGATGTTGGTTTTTTGGTTTCTAAGAGGCTTGATCCGGAGTTAGGCGTACCATGCCTCGAACTAACTGAAAACGAAGTCAGAAACCTTGATACTTAATCAGATATGCAGTCACCTACACAGTGAAAAATTCTCCAAATCCGGAAAAGAAAGAACCT